CCTTCATTTAATGATGCAATCTTTAAAAATGGAAAAAAACTAGAAACGTATATGTATACATATATATTCATATTTTTGTATAGTATACAAACATAAAATGCAAACACACACTACATACGCACATCCAACAAACGTACACACATACACATACATAAATATACACATACATGCATACATACACACATACATACATACATACATACATACATACATACATACATACATACATACATACATACATATATACATACATTCTAGTATTTGTATATACAATGCATGAGATGTTTATTGATCGTACGTACGGAGCAATAGGTGCACAAAACGTATGCAAGCAATATGATTGCAAGTGTACGCACTGAGTGCACGCGCATACAGTGTATGTATGTGTATGCGTGCGCGTGTGTGTTTGTGTTTGTGTAAATGGTAAAACCAATTATAAATATCAAAAAAATCGTTTGTTGATAAAAATACACTTTAATGATTTTACCTATCTCTGCCTGTATTTAAGTACAATGATGCAGATTTATGTGGAGAGATAAGTGTGGGTACCAAATGATTATATTAGACTAAGTACATGTCTACACTCTGCTCACACATACATAGGTTTAATCCTTCTCTATGCTATGTTTTTTTTTCTTTTCTTCACTGGAATTAATAATGCCAGCTCCATTTATTCAAAGAAACAGCCCTCCACATAAGTACGCGATATCTATCCGATGTATATAGATATACACGAGTGATATATAGATTTACGCTGTTACACACGCGTACACACACACAAACACAGACAAAAAAACACACACATACATATATAACACTTGAATATTAGCGTATAAATGTAAATAATTTAGATTAAATATGTCCTTTTCTTGTTTGTAAGCCGGTTTAACACGGATGCACTTATTCATGGCGTCCACAAACTAATTCCGTTCAGGTATTTGTTTATTTGTTTTTGTTGGCTTGTGGGTATGTTTATGCTTTTGTGTGGACGTTTTTAGGTGTGTGTGTGTGCGTGTGTTTGTTGCGGTGTGTGTGTGTCCGTGTGTGTGTGCGTGTTTACGAGATCTTCGTAAAAACATCATCAACTGGGTTATAATAATATGTTAGGAATAAAATGAAAAAAGGAAGAAGAAAAAGAAGGAAAGAAAAAAAAATAATAACAATATTATTGAAATAATAATAATAATAATAATGATAATAATAATAATAAAATTTGTTTTCGCATGCGACTTGGCTTAAGAAATGAGAATGATGGATGGATGGCTAGCCGAGCGTGTAATTGAAAGAGAGAGGTGGCGAGGAAAAGAAAAAAAGAATCAGGCGAAGAAATTGATACAAAATTTTTGAAAATCCAAAAGAATAAATAAACACACTTTTTCTAGTTCCATCATCATCATCGCCATCACAGAAGTGAAAAAAATTGTTGTAAGCACTGAGATGATATCATTATCAATACTTGAATCGAGTTTTTTTTTCCAAAAAAGATCATGTTATATGGAGTTTCTCATGTTATATCCTTCATTATCGTTACCACCATGTTCATCATCGTCTCCATTATCATCTTCATCATTATCAGCATCGTCATCATCATCATCATCGTCGTCGTCATCATCTTAGGTGTTGGCGTGAATGCCCTCAACATTATATTACATCTTCACCTATCCTCATATCTATATTTATCATCATCATCACTAGAATCGTCATCAACATCATCACCATCTTACTCACCAGAGTAAAAGAACAAATAATAATAATAACATAGTTATAATAAAAATAATAAACGTTTTTAAAAATAACATGTGAAATAAAGAATGAAAAACAAAAATACAAACTTAGGGACATGGGAAAACAAACGGACGCGGACAAACAAACGAGTAAATAAATGAACATGGAAGAACGGACAAACAAACGGACAAACAAAGGAACAAGCAACAGACCTGATTGATCTTAGGGCAGCATTCCATGATGGTCATCATGAGTTGAGCATTGTTCGTCGACTCGCGTGTACTTTCTTGGGCCAGTGCCTCATACAGCGAAGATGGACATAATGGTTCTGGCAGCTCTCGAACAAAATCTTTCAAAATTACTGAAGGGCAGAGTTAAAGTTTAATTAGTATAATCACGCTAATTACATTACTTATTATTAATAGTAGTGATACTATTAACTCATGGGATAACGTTTCATTAAAGGTCAATTTTTTAGAGGATTTAGCTTTTTATGATTAATTTTCATAGCAATCACAAATTTATTTTATTTTCTTTAATTTTGTTTGTACACTTCAGTGAACTGCTGTTCATTTTTTATACTGTAAACCACACAATGAACTGTTATAAGTTTAATGTATGAGGTTTATTGATGTTGTTTGCTGCTCAGATCTTCTCAACGTATAATTTATTTTTCAGTCCATAGATAATAATTTTTTGTGCTCATGACCATCAGAGAGGCTTGCAAGGTTATTGTTTTTATGGCTTTTCGAGTTCTTCTAATGTTCTTCAAGAGAGTTACAGCCATCCATCTATTTCTTTTATTTGATATATTTTGAAATAAACATATTGGATTTTTTAAATTGAAAAATGGCTGAAATATCCGCTCGGCATACAAACATTATTTTTAGCACCAAAATTTGAAAGCTAATAAAATATTGACTGCATTATTTATTGCGCTTTCTGCAATTTTATTTTTTCACCAAAGTGTTTTTCTTCCTTCTTTTTGCCGCAAGTTGAGTCCCAAAAAAGTCAAAAACGCCGTAAAAATTGAATTAAAATAAAGCAAGAGGAATGAGAAGAAGGAGAATATATGATTCTGGGAATTAAGAAATGCGCGGGTTTACTCAATGATTTCTGTTCAAATGTACGTGCTGCTAAATAACTCTACTTGCACCTACTGCAATATTGAGACAAAAAATTGAAACTTGCCTTGTTTTATATGTTTATTTAAACTATAAATCGTTTGTTGTTACTTTGTCAGAATTTTCATCATGCGTGGGTAGCTTCCTATCATTTCAATGTTGTTCAAAAACCACAAATATGGATGTTTTGAAAACGAAATGCATACAGTCAAGCAGAAACACGCGTTAGAACTCAAAAGCAATTGCAATCTTGATTACTTGCGTTCATGTTGAGCGCTAAATAATTTTTATAGTAGAAGCAAACGTCCGCTGCTGACGGGTGCTATTAACAACAGCAATAAATATATTTTAAGAGCTGGAAGGAGTTTTAGCGGGGACGACGTGTTGTTAGGACTTACAGCGAGAAGAAATATGCTATGCTGGATGTAACAGAAAAATGCAGGACAAAAAATGTAATTGAAACGTTCTTTATTGCCATGTAGCCAGTTTGATACTGCTATTTTCAATTATCTGTACAACTTTGTTTTGTTCCTTGGCCGCTCATTACTTCTGAATGGCGACGAGAGATTTAGTCAGAATTACTCAGAATTCACTCATTATAAGTCTTCAAAATTATTTGCCTACTTTTGCCTTCAAATACTAGCGTACTGCTTTGAATCAATATTATACAACGATGATGACGTCTTCCATAGAATAAAATTAAAAGTTTTATTTATATAGCGCCAATTTTACTAAACTTCAATTGCAGTTTTTATTACGAAGGGTTAGGACCTTAAATCGCGAATGTGACTGTCATTTTATTTTATTGCTCGGACGCCTCTGCATGTAGATGATGAGAAGAAATTCTCGTTGTTTGGTTTGTGCTCGGATAGTATGCGCGCTCTACATGGGAGTTTGTGAGTTTAAGAATATTCAATAATAATATGATCAGTTGATTTTGTTCATAAAATTACACAAATTGACACACGATACTTAGTATATAAAATGCATTTGATTTTTACGTAACAACAGAGATAATAATAAAGTAAAATAGGTTATGAAAATTAAATGGAAAAACATGAGCAAACCTGTAACAACGTTGATGTCTCCAACGACAGATGGCGACAGATCGATATGCATTGGATTTTTTTCGAGCTCTTCTCTCAGCTGCTGCTTTCTCCTAGCCGAGCCACACAGACGGTATATGCCGACCTGATCGAGACCTCTCTTCTCGATCTCTTCAACGCATCTTACCAGCAGCATGGGAATGTTTCGACCACTTTTTTCTCGTTCCACAACAGTCGCTAGCTCCGTACCAAAAAGTGAATTTAAATGTAGGGATGGTGTCCTGCGGTAAAGAATTTCTATGGTTTGATAGAGAAGTTCGATGTACAGAGTTCCTCGAGGTTGCAACTGCAGAGCTAGACGATTATGCTGCTGTTGCTGGCTGTTCTGTTGCGTGGCTTTATGGAATAACGCTGCCAAATGAACTGAGCCTCCATAAACCAACCGATGCCTGGCACCTTGACTTGGGTCGTATGAATAAACGGAAAAAGATAAATAACGTGCAGAGTTCAAATCCATTTCAAATCGATCGTCCCAGTCGAAATTCATAGCTCCCGTGTGCACGGTTGTGCGAGCGCATCCAAGAGAGTCCAACTCGACGACGCAGTACAAATCTTGCAGTACTGCTCTGTTTGATACCAGACCGTGACCACAGAAGACGTGACACACCAGGCAGCCGTCCAGCGGTTGGGCCGGTTCCTCGAGATCAGATTTCGATTGTTGCTGGGGCAAGATTGACTGATAAGTTTTAAACGCTTCCTTGCGAATGTGCAGCGGTGTTTTAATTAGATTTTTCGGGGCCGATTCTCCAACGCTTTGAGCCGTGCTGGACATGCTTGGGTTTCTTGTTAACGTTCTCGATTGGTGAGAACTAGTGGAGGATGATGAAGACGATCCTGAGACGGTGCCCAGCTGGGGTGGCTGCAGAGCTACACCTAAATTTCAAAATTCGTTTCCTCAATTTAATATTTTAATATTTGTTTGAATTTTACAAAAAATATTATAATATTGAACGGACAGGATACTTTTATAAAAACGAACCAGCGCCTGATGTGGCCAAGCGAGCAGCTGCCAAGTTGATCTGCATCGGATGAGGTGACGACGATTCTTCTTCGACGACTTCCGCGTACTCACAATCGCCTGTGCTACTTAACTTCCTTGTGACGCGTCTGCGCGAGTTTGAGGTAGATGCTGTGTTCATTCTGTTGACATCAATTTGTGAGGACGACGGACTTTTGCCGCCTATTACACTGTACGGATAGTTCAACGACATCTGCCTGCCCAGTGTGTAAGTTTCCTTATCAGATGAAACTCCTCCACCGCCGCTCGAATACAAACTCGTCAAATCATCTAAATGAAGTTTTGTAAATTTTCAAATTTATTTAACTTGATGTCATCTATTTATTTTTTTTATAAGTGATTGTGTACAAATTATCATCAATATTTTGTTGACACTAAAATTTTTATAACACTTTTATATCTAAAAAAGAAAAATAGAACGAAATTATTTAAACACATTGCAAAATAACTTCATATTAAAATAAAAACGACAGTTGAACGTTCTATGAAACTGTCGATGGTAGTAATGAAAGAAATGACTGCATGGTGGGCGATTGATTGATCTGCTGGGTAATCAAAATCTCTTGTAATTTAACGTTGTCCGTGTGGCAAGCAGCTGCGTTTTAGCTTAAAAGTGGACAAGAAATTTGAATCATCGCAAATATGTTATAACTAAAGTTGATGAACAACTTCTAATTTGCCTTATGTAATAAAAAATGTTAATATGCCAAAATCTGGTGTCAACATATTAGGATATCAAATAATTGAATAAATTTCCATTACGTGTCTAGCAGAGTACATCTACAGTTTGATAAAACAGACTGGATATCATCTGTTTCTGTGTGCATGCACCAAACAAAAAGGCCTTCGGGATAAAATCTTTTACATTTCTCGAATCCTACACATATTTGCGTCACAACATTTTAGCCAACGGCTGCAGTCAAATATAGAAAAAATATTTTGCATTCTGCGCTCTTAAGAACATCAACCTCACATACTCTGGCCATCTGACGTTGCGAGCAATGCAAAAGACGTTGGCACGCACTCAAATAACGTATATGATAATAAAAATACGTTTCAGCTGAAACTCAAAATTCATAAATGAAACATCTGAAATTGTAACTAATATAATTTAAACCTGTTTTCTAAAATAGTTTTAGCGCGCAAGAGAAAGAGATGAAAGAAAAAGTTAGATAAAATTTTACAAATTCTAAAGGAAAATTGTTCATAGAGGTGTAAGAAATTGATTGATAGACAGCCAGTCAGCATTTTCTGATAGTTCATCATCTACAATTGTCTGCGCACGGAAAGAATGGAATAGTAAACTGATAGCCGATGGGTGTATCTTCATTTAATAGTCCTATCAAGTTTTTAGCGGGTGGTGGAAACCTTAACGAGAAATATGCCCGCATCGGTGGATTTTATGTAAGTCAAACGGCATTACCGCCATAGATGAATACAAATGAATTAAGCGTAATAGGAGTTTTATAAAGGATACGCTCTTACGTGCGATGTAGACACGAAATAACGTATCTACATATTATATTTTAGTATTTTTTAATTTGTTATCCTAAAGAATTCAGATGTTTTGTATAAAAATTTGAAGCTTAAAGATGTTACAATACTAGTTTGATAATGTTTAGATTAAAGTTTACTTTAAATATGCGTAGAAAAAAATTAAATTTTCAGATTGAATCAAAAGATGTTTAGTAAATTGCAAAACTATCATGGCTTTCTCCAACCATCCCATTCTACTGCACTCATTCAACGGCAATGCTGGATTCCAAGAGCTTCTCACAAAGCGCGATGTTAATGTCGGTGCATTTTTATTGCGCCATCACGTGATAAGGATGGTAGGATCGATGCAATCATAAATGATTTACAAATTTATAGAAATATAACAGATCGATATTAACTGGTGCAGTCTTCTACGTTTCCCTCTATTGATTTCAAGCTGAGTACAAAGTAACGAGGACAGGGGCATAAGAAATAGTCGGCTGGTGTGTTATTTAAACTCTGTCGAGAAAATAACCATTTTAATACACGAACATGCAGCTAAATTGGTACATGAAGAGATGTGTAATGTACATATTTATGTGTGTGTGTGTGTGTGTGCGTGTGCGTGTGCGTGCGTGTGAATTACAAATAATATTTGTAAACGCTTACATGCAAAAAATATAGATAGGAGAAATATGAATGAAAGCAGCGTGAACATTGATACATTCAAATAGAGAATGAAATGAAGATTGATAACCTGACAGATAGGGAGACTTATTCTGTTCTAATGAAAATGTATCAAACTGCCTAAGCAGGGAGTTGAGACTACTACTAGCTCCTCCCGGCTGAACTTCTTGGTTGAAACAACCTGGAATTATTTTTTCATTACCCCCTCCTCCGATTTGAGCCACATACCTACCTTCCCTGGTCTGTCTTTCTCTAATTCTTTGGTTCCACGCAACGGTTGCCGAATCGAGAGCCTCCCATTTTTGTTTCTGAGTCAATTGTTGCTCGGCAGCAGTTGAATATGAAAACCTCCTGTCCAACGTGGCATACTCGCCTGGACTGAAGTGCCAACGTGGATTGTAATGGGAGGGCCAGTCGAGGGATGTGGGAGGATTTTCTGGATAGAAATCAGATGCAGGATTGGTGGGATACGCTCGAAGTTTCTGTCGAGATGCTGCATGGTCAAATGTGTAAGTGTCTGAATCTGACGAGTAATCCGGCCTGGCTGAGCAGCTTCTGTGCTGGTAGCCTGGTGCTAATGGATTGGTTCTCGAATAACCGGTTGACGATCGCTCTATGGATGGTGCCCTACAACTGCTCAACGTGTTCGCAGATGTTGTACTAAAAGAACTAGGTCGGCAAGATATTTGTTGTTGCTGTTGTTGTTGTTTTTGTTGCAATTGAAGTTGTTGATGAAATTGTTGCGTTTGTAACAGTTGATTTGGGCTTACAGCTGAACCACTTGTCATGATGTCATCGCCAAAATCATCATCATGTCTAAAACTTATGACCTGCGTCCCGGATGGTTGTGGTTCTTCTTTCGACTGCCCAGATCCAGTTTTTGATAAGCTGGTGCTGGCGGAAGGTCCGCTTGATGAATCTATTTGTCTAAAAAATCCCGAATTATCGCTTGAAAGACCGCTATCGCCTGAATCGTCACCTCCCATGAACCCCTGTTGCTGAGTTTGAATCATCAACGCGCCACCGCTGTTTCCCATCTTACCGAGACTTCCCCAATAGTCGTCCGTTCTTTTCTGCATGCCGGCTGGTGACGACGAGTATGCAAAACGTTGTTGGTCTCCGATGTAAAAGTCTTGATACTGATACTGATCAGAGCCTGGTGATTTGGACATGTGACCTCCAGGAAGTGTCATCATCATTTGGTGGCCTAGACTGGAGCTAGGGTAAGATTGGGCTGGTCTCGGACATTTCACAACCACCACAGGAGGGGGCTGTTCTTCATCAATTCCTGATTGTCCACCACTGGACCCCAGTGAAGCTGAATCTCCAAGTTGAGCGGCTGCATTGGGATTTCTCCTGACCACCAAAACTAATCTCTTAGGAATAGACATAGATATCACCACATCTTCGAGTCGTTTTCTGTTAACGACAGCGCCGTTCACCGACAATATTTCATCCCCAATTTTTAAAAGTCCGTTTTGTTCAGCAACACTTCCAGCAGCTAGCCTGGAAATGAACACTCCGTCCCACCTGTCTCTTCCGTTACCTTCACGAATGTAAAATCCCAAACTTTGTCCCGGTCTTTTTATAATTTCGACTGTTTGAACAACTGATTCTGCGTCTTCCATTTTGATAATTTGACGATAGTTTAATTTCAAAACAAAATTAATGATTGTTGATAAGTTGGCAGATTTTTATACTTTTTATGCATTTTTAATCCAACGTTATTTATAAGTTTTTGTGTTAAGAAGGAACAGTGAACGTGATTTGTTTCGGGTGTACAATCGAGTCATATCATTCAAGATTTTAAATTTAATACGTACTTTTACAATTATCCATGTGGCAAAACTGAATCAACTTTTCTAAATTTTTATCAAAAGTTAAAAACAAAACGTATAATTCAGAATGCATTTGAAAATAATGAAATAAATTAGAACGGGATGGGGCTACGATGCCTTCCCAGCAAACGTAGAACATGCCACTGCCTCTCTCCTTCAAACTCCGATCTTAATTCTCTTTCTATCCAAATTTTACAGCGGTCTAACTTCACGATTGTTAATATTAATTTACATGAATACAATTTTTCATATATTTAAATGTTAAATTTATTATCCAGCGTCAACATCGTAAAATTCAATTATTATTCCTATACATTTATCGAAGCACCATACGCGCGCTTATACGATTGTATGGAAACCTCTTTTTAACAGACTAACATATGCACTATCTCATATAAAACATCCTCTGCATTGCTAGGATAATGTTTAGTTTCTCTACTTGCCAGCCCCAGTCTCTCCACACGCATGTTCAATCTCAATATATACACACATGCATGCACAGACGCGCGTAAGTATATACGTTCGAGAAGCGTATATAGCAGGCGCGATCATTGTGCGTGCAACAATAACAAACGTATGCACGGTATGTTGTTGTTTGTATAATGTAGAAATTACTGCTTTTTTCAGCATTTGTATCGTGCACGTGTGCATTTGCATAGATGTGCGCGCGCCAGTGTTTTTTCACGCACGCACGCCTGTGTTTGTTCACGCACGTCGGCCTGCCTGCTCGATGCTATGCACGGCTCTCCAACAACAGCTATGCTGGAACGTCGTTTTGTTGATACATGCACGCGTATTTGTGCTCGTGTGTGTGTGTGTGCACCCTCTTGGCACATACAGGCAAACACGTGTGTGCCTTTGACTGATTATTCGTTAATGCTTATGTCTGTTTTGTTTGTAGGCTGTCCAGAGATGAATACACTGCGTGACTTTTAATTATTTTCATGCACATTCAATTTATTCTTCATCAAACTTTCTGCTCCTTGGTTTGCGCATTCTCTGGCGTTATGAATAATCACTTTATTCTCTATTTATAGTTCAACTTTTTCATATTTTCTGATCAAATTTCGTTAATGGATTGATTTGAGTTTGTTGATAAATCCATATAAATTGCATGGATTGGTCGACAAATTTTCATGCAGAACAAGAAATATATTACATTACAATGGTAGGTTCTTAATAAAATGAAATTTTGACACTTTTCAATAATAAAAATAAATGTCGGACCAGTAAGAACGTAAGTGAGCTGGAACACCATCGGTAGTTGCAGCCACAAGTTTGGTAGTTGCAGCCAAGACATCGATAGTAGCAGCCACACATTGGTAACAGCAGCCACAACAACTATCATAGAATTAGCAGTAGCGTCAACGCCAGCCACAGTAGTAGTGGTAGAACAAGATAATGTAGCTAGGATATGCTGGGATTGTCGTGAGCACGCTTGCAATTTTTTTTAGTGATTAACTGTATCTTTCATGCTCACACTCTACAGTGATTAACGTTCATTCATTCTTTTTCTTTTCCTTCTCTCTCTCTCTCTCTCTCTCTCTCTCTCTCTCTCTCTCTCTCTCTCTCTCTCTCTCTCTCTCTTATTTTTATCTTTTCGATTTTTCCAAATTTTGATTTTGTAATTTGCCTTTCAGGGTCGCATGGATTTTGTTTGCGTTTAAATTTTTCATTATCAGTTGCTACACTGACTTTTTTGTTGTTGTTTTGAGTCTCATTTCACTTTGGCTGGTTACCTTTCCAATAACTTAATCTTATTATTGAAAAAATTAATTTTCTGGTTTTTATTGTTTGAAATTAACATAAAATATGTTTTGCTTTTGTATTTACAATTTTTTTTATGAACACATAATCGTGAATTAAGATTGATTTTAATTGAATTAAAAACCAATTAAATAATTCATGTATTTACTATACAAGTTAAATTAACGAAATTTGTGTGATATAACCAAAAAGTAAAAATTAAACCAGAAAACCAGTTTTAAGAGTTTTTCATTAGAAAAAACTTTACCAAAATTTTTTAACTTCTCAACGTTTTACAGTCAGAAAAATTTTCAAATTGTTATCATTGGTCAGATTATCGTTGTTATTAAATCATCGTTTTTATTATCACTAGCGTCATCAACATATCACCATAATCATAATATTTTTCAATGTAAATTGCCATTGTAACCTACCAGCTGACATCTTCCATATTCATCATCCTAGTCGTCAAACGTTCCCAACCGTCAGCTAGGCACAATGTCAAGCCGGTGTTTATCGATAGCACCTTGCATCTTTCTGTCACCACCTCATCACGTTGTCTTCCTCTTCATCACGTCATCATCATCATTATTATTATTTTTTTTATTATTATTATTTTCTTTGTTTTATCGAATTTATTTTGGTCATTCTCACTCATTTCATCATTTTATTTTTGAATTATTTATATTAATTTAAATAAATGCCATGACCGTAATATGACCATCATATTGGCATCATCATTTTTATACATTGTCATCATCATCATTATCGACGCCGTCATATTTTTATTTCATCATCATCATCATCA